GTGATCCTGGTTTTTAAGGATCACGAAACTGCGGAGGAAATCGGGCGAAGCCGCGGGTCAAATGCAGCCCCACAGCCTCGGGTGTGAAATTGACATGCTTGTGTCGGGGCAAACGGCGGCTGCGCCGCAAGGCAGCTCTAGTGCGAAATCGCCCATTGTTTTGCTTCATTTAAACCCCATGTTCCTCCCCACTGGGGACCCAAAGTGGCTCATATTATTCTCCTCTTCATTTTATCCTTACATTCACCCTGTGAAGTGGGTTAGACTGAGAGTTTGTGACTGGCCCAAAGTCTAGGGTTGCCAGGTCCCTGCCTGGCATCCAGACGGGAGGAGAAGCTCTGTCTTTGGGAGACTTGCATGCGCGCCGAGATGACATCACCCGGAAGTGACATCACCGCACCTGGGCACATCGTCGAGGGACGCTCTAGCGTTCAGTCTTAAAATTCTATGGTACTGTAGAATTTTAAGGTCAAGCGCTAGAGTGTTCCCCGACGACATGACCGATGCGATGACGTCACCTCTGGGTGACATAATTGCGCCAGGAATGTTGGCACTTTGGAGGTGGCGTTCCCTCCAGCAGCCGGATCCGGGCCGGCAGTTTGGGGGACCCTAGAGCGGGCAAACCCCCGCCCCCTCCAGGGGACCTGGCAACCCTTCCAATGTCACCCAGGAAGCTTCCATGCTAGGGTGGGGATTTGAACCTGGGTCTCCTAAAACCTAGGCGGACACTCTGACCCCCACATTGTCTCTCTACAAGCAGCTGTCTCTCTAGATCAGAGGTTCCCAATCTTTTTGGGCCTGTGGGCCTGTTTGGAATTCTGACACAAGATGGTGGACACAAAAATGGCCATCCTGAGAGGAGTGGAGCCAACAACCAGGGGTCATTTCCTGCAGGAGCGCACAGGAGCGGAGCTCCGGCAGTAAAGAGCCAGGGGCCGGGCACATGCAACAAGCCCCGCCCCCTGCTCCCAGCAGCCCCCAGTCAGAGCAAGAAGCAGGCAGGTAAGCTGCAGAGCCCCCCCCCCCCAGATAGCAATCCAAAACAGTTCAGTGGGACCTTTAAGGCCAAGGTTTATTATTCAGGTACAGGCTCTCCCTCCTCTGTGAGGGCAGATCTGTGTCCCCCCCCCAATAGCTAACAATCCAAAAGAGTCCAGTGGAGCCTGAGTGGTGGGTGTTGCCTTCTGACACACTTCTGGTGATGTCAAGGGGAGTGGCATATGCAAATAAGTTATGCTAATGAGTTATGCTAATGAGCTCCTGCACCTCTTTTTCTACGAAATGACCCCTGCCAACAACCAAATGGACACCACGGGAGGGGTAACCAATGACAGGAGGTGGAGCCACATATAGAAGAAGAGAAGAGATTGGATTTAGAGCCCGCCCTTCACTCGGAGTCTCAGAGCGGCTTACAAACTCCTCTCCCTTCCCCTCCCCACAACAGACACCCTGTGAGGTAGGTGGGGCTGAGAGAACGCTGAGAGAACTGCTCTGAGAGAACTTGTGACTGACCCAAGGTCACACCAGCAGTTGCAAGTGGAGGAACGGTGGGGAATCAAGCCTGGCTCTCCCAGATTAGAGTCCGCGCACTTAACCACTACACCAAACTGGGAAGCCAGAGTGCAGGAGGCAAGAGTAGTAAGTTTAAAATCTGTTGTAACCCACCTTGAGCCCTGCACTGCAGGGGAGGGCAGGGTAGAAATTCAGTAAATAATAAATAAATAAAAATTACACTGGGAAAGGGGAGTGGAAGAGAACAAAAGTGAACACTTTTGTGGTAGCTACTGCCAAAACGTTATTTTAAAGGCGCACAGGCAATTAGATACCCAGTGGCCAATCAGAAGCCCTGCTGGGCTGGAAGTGCACCTGGCCCCGCCCACTTTCTAGAAACTCTTGGCAGGTGCCATGAAAGGTGTTGGCGGCACATACCGTATTTCTTTTCAAGGACACTTCCACTTGCCCACCGTGTTCCATAGCCCCCTTTTCCAGGAATTATATTAAAAAATCTCAATAATGTACAGCTGTGTTTCAGTTCTTCTGCTGGTTTCCCCCCCCCCTTTTTGGTATTTTTTTTTTTGAGCTCCTGGAGGGGATTTTTTTTATTGATTTTTTTAACACTACAAAAAACTACAACAGAAAAGGGGGAGAGGAAAACAACATATAAGGGAGAAAGTAAAGAACCCACTACTGACTAAAAACCCAAGAGAGGAGATCCTCTAACTAGCTTTTTTTTTTTTAGCATCCAAACTTATCATCTTTGTACTTCTTATGAACTGTGTCAATCTTTTAGAACTTTTAACCCGCCGTTTTTGGTATTTTTGATGCATTTTTCATATGTGCATATGTGCGCGTGTACGTATGAGTGTGTATGCCCATCTGGAAGTCATGGCGACCTCTGGTGACTGACCCCTACTGGGGGCCAGGAGGATATTCAGAGAGGTGACTGAATAAAGCCTGCCCCCGCCTCCCGACTGCTGGTATTCCAAGGAGGTCTCCCATCCAAGCACTTGCCAAAGTCGACCCTGCTTAGCCTCCAAGATCTGATGAGATCGGGCTTTCCTGGGCTATCCAGGTCAGGGCGGTTTCCCAATTTTTGTCCATTTCTGACCCTTCGGCAGGTCATGGAAAAGGCAATCAGACAACTGAGTTATTCTGTTAGCAGTAGTAGCCGAGGACTGATTAGCCATCTGCTTGGAAGAGCAGTCTTTGTTCCCCTTGGGCACAGTCTAACTCATACATCCATTTACAAATGCCTTCTGTTTTGGGTCACTGAAACAGGCATTGCGGTTATTCTGTTTTGAGTTCTTTGTTTAAAGGGATTTCTCCGATTCAGAAACCCCGATGGTTTTGATGCAGCTAGACTGAGATACGTGTTCTTTTAAATTTTACACGTCTTTAGTTTGGGGTTCCCCAACCTTTTTGGGCTCGCAGGGCTCTTTGGAATCCTGGCATGTTGTGGTGGGTGCAGCCACAGAGCAATTGCTACCAAAGGGCTGCTGCAGGAGGCGGGGCCAGCCACAAAATGGCTGCGGCGGTTTACTGTCAGTCACACATGGAAGATCCTGGTGTTGGGGTGGCAGCCAGTGTCCCCTCTAAGCTGAGCTAGTGTGAGCTAGCTCACAGGTTTTTAGCCTCCAGCTCACACATTTTTGTCTCAGCTCAGGAAGGAGGGCTCCAGAGCAAACTAATTGATGCAGAAGCCAAATCGCTCGCTCACAACTTTAATGCCGGTAGCTCACAAAGTAGAATTTTTGCTCACAGGACTCCACAGCTTAGAGGGAACGTTGGTGGCATCGACTGCTAAACCAACACTTAGCCAGTTTGGTGTAGTGGTTAAGTGTGTGGACTCTAATCTGGGGGAACCAGGTTTGATTCCCCACTCCTCCACTTGCACCTGCTGATGTGACCTTGGGTTAGTCACAAGCTCTGGCGCAGCTGTCCTTGAAAAAGAGCAGTTTGTGTCAGAGTTCTCTCAGCCCCACCCACCTCACAGGGTGTCTGTTGTGGGGAGGGGAAGGGAAAGGAGTTTGTAAGCCGCTCTGAGACTCCAAGTGAAGGGCGGGGTATAAATCCAATCTCTTCTTCGTCATCTTCTTCATCTGCATAGCCAACCAAAAGTCCAGTGGCCAGTTAGAAGCCTTGCTGGGCAAAAGCCACACCTGGCCCCACCCACTTGGGCACCATGGAAGGTATTGGCACCAAACTGGGGGACCCCTGGACTTAAAGAAGAAGAAGAAGAAGAGATAAGAGATTGGATTTATACCCCGCCCTTTACTACCCAAAGGTGTCTCAGAGCAGCTTACAAACTCCTTTCCCTTCCCCTCCCCACCACAGATACCCTGTGAGGTGGGTGGGGCTGAGAGAGCTCTTGACAGAAACGGCTCTTTTTCAAGAACAGCTCTTATCAGAACTACGGCTTGCCCAAGGTCATCCAGCCAGGTGCGAGTGGAGGAGTGGGGGATCATACCCGGTTCTCCCAGATTAGAGTCCGCACACTTAACCACTACACCAAACCGGTTGGGGCAGGGGATCCCTGATTTTGGGCCCCCCAAAAAACAGCTGCCGGCCAGCTGGCCAGTGGGGGACGCCCCACCCCTGAACAGCATCATCCCATGGGGGTGCCACCGACACAGTGACTTCACCACTAGTGACGTCAGGGCTATTTTTGGGCAGGAATGCACAGGAACGGAGTTCCGGCTGGCTCCCAAGTTGGCCACGCCCAACAGGAACTCATTAGCATAATAGGCCACACCCAACAGCAGAAACTCATTGGGATTGGCTACATTAGAGGTATGTGGTTTTGACAACAAACAAGGTAAACAGAATAACAAGCAAAAGGTGGGTGTGGCTGGATAACCACACTTCTGGTAACATGGGGGTGGGCCTAATGTGCTAATGAGCTGTGGTCTCAGGGGTGTGGCCTAATATGCTAATGGGTTTCTGCTGTTGGGTGTGGCCTATTATGCTAATGAGTTCCTGCTGGGCTTTTTCTACAAAAAGAGCCCTGAGTGACGTCATCATTCTGGGGCCGTCACACGGCAATGCTCTTGCATTCAGGGGAAACTATGATTACCATAGAGTTTTTGCCCCGAATGCTAGAGCATTGCAGCGTGACGGCCCTAGCATGATGATGTCACACAGAAACGTCCCGATGAGGAGCCAGGAGCCCCCACCGCAGCAAACGTGAGATCTGGCAACCCTACCTGATCTAATTAAAGCCACTGTAAGACTCTCACAAGGGCCACGTTGGCTCAGAGGTTAAGACACTGAGCTGCAGACTGGAAGGTTTGTAGTGTGATGGAGTGAGCTCCCGTCCCTGGCCCCAGCTCATGTCAACCTAGCAGTTCGAAAGCAAGGAATTGCAAGTAGGTTAATAGGTATTGCTTCATTGGGAAGGTAACAGCATTCTGTGTGCCTTGGCGATTAGTCATGCTGGCCACATGACCACGGAAACGTCTTTGGACAGCGCTGGCTCTTCGGCTTGGAAACGGAGATGAGCACCGCTCCCTAGAGTCGGATTCGACTAGCTTTTGAACAAGGGAAACCTTTACCTTTTAAGACTCTCACAAGAGCGTGGGAGGCCCCTCGAAAAAAGCCAAGTTTGTGTCTTAGTCTTCTTTCTGTCCTCTCCAGGACAAATGTTTCGTAACACTCTCCCTCACCCTCTGACTCATGTCCAACTCTGTTAACAGTGTAATATATAATCCCGGAATAGCTCTGTGCAAGTTCAAGGCATTTGGGCACGTCTCTCATTATTTTTATGATCTTCGTAAGTTCTGTCTCCTTTGGTATTTTTATCCCGCGTGAGTCAGCTGCATTAAATATTTGAAAACTTTTTCTCGGAAGTCTGGTAACCCCCCCCCCCCCCATTATTTTCTATCACGTTCTTCCCTTCTTTCTTTCCCCATTTTGCTTCGTAAGGTCCAGAGGAAAAAAAATTGTCCTCTTTGTGCTGAACTACATCATTCTTGGAACGCGAGAGAGGAGTTTGACTTGGGATGCCGTCTTCATGCCTCACTCTGAGAGGGAGCATGCCAAACTCTTCTGGAGGAGTGGAGAAGCAGCTGCCTTCTACACGGTTAAACCGAAAGGTACGCTCGTTCGGGGGCAGGCTTTGCCGCGAGTAGGCATATTGCCCAAAACTGGGGGGTGGCATTTCAGCTTTTAAAGGGGGGGGGAGGGCTTGGAGAGAGTGTAAAGATTTTTAGCAGTGTTTACAAATCATGTAAGCTGCGGTGGCTCAAGTGGTTAAGACACTGAACTGCAGGCTGTGGAAGGTCGGTAGTTCAGCAGTTCGAGACCTGGGTTCCGCATGACGGAGTGAGCTCCCGTCTCTGGTTCCAGCTCCTGCCAACCTAGCAGTTCGAAAGCAAGAAATTGCAAGTAGATAAATAGGTACCACTTCGGTGGGAAGGTAACAGCATTCCGTGCGCCTTGGTGTTTAGTCACGCCGGCCACATGACCACGGAAATGTCTTCGGACAGCGCTGGCTCTTCGGCTTTGAAACGGAGATGAGCACCGCAACCCTAGAGTCGGACTCGACTGGCTTTCGAGCAAGGGAACCTTTACCTTTACCTTTTACAGTTCATACCTTAGATGTGTCCAGAATTAAGTCCCCTTCCCCCGAGTCGATGCGTTTTTGGAACATTTCTTGTGGTTTCTTGTCTTTTTTTCCCCTAATGCTTCTCGAAAGCCACTATGGTGTAGTGCGTAGAGAGTTCACCTGGGATCTGAGAGACCCAGATTCATATCCCACCTCTGCCACGGAAGCTTGCTGGGTGACCAAGGGCCAGTCACATGCTCTCAACCTAACCGACCTCACGGGGTTGTTGTAAGCATAAAACCGAGGCAAGGAGAACAGATGAGCCACTTTGGGTTCCTGTTGGGGAGAAGGGCAGGGTATAAAGGAAAGATGACCAAAAAAAACCCCTCCAGGATCCCTGGCCAAGCTGGAGGAAAATTGCTTCCTGACCCCAAAGTGGCAGTCAGCATTTCCCTGTGCGAGTCAGAAAAGGCCACAAGAGCTGAGCACTGAGGCAACCCCCCCTGCCCTCCCTCTCATGATCTGCCTAAGTTCACAGAATCTGCATTGCTGTCAGATGGCCATCTAAGCCTCTGCTTGAAAACCTCCAAAGAAGGAGAGCCCACCACCTCCCGAGGAAGCCTGTTGTTGGGGAGACTTATCTTGGCAGTAGTATGTGCGAAAAGCATCTAGGGGTTTTAGCAGTCCTTAGCAGTACACTGAACATGAGTCAGCAGTGTGATGCAGTAGCTAGAAAGGTAAATGTGATTACAGGCTGTATCAACAGAAGTATAGTGTCCAGATCACGTGAAGTGATGGTACCGCTTTACTCTGCAATGGTTAGACCTCACCTAAAGTATTGTGCTCAGTTTCGGGCACCAGGCTCTTTTTGTAGCAGGAACTCCTTTGCATGTTACGCGATACACCCCTAATGTAGCCAATCTTCCAAGAGCTTACAGTACCCCCTGTAAAGGGTGTACTGTAAGCTCTTGGAAGATTGGCTACATTAGGGGTGTATCGCGTAACATGCAAAGGAGTTCCTGCTACAAAAAGAGCCTGGTGCCCGAAACTGAGCACAATACTTTAGGTGAGGTCTAACCATTGCAGAGTAAAGCGGTACCATCACTTCACGTGATCTGGACACTATACTTCTGTTGATACAGCCTGTAATCACATTTACCTTTCTAGCTACTGCATCACACTGCTGACTCATGTTCAGTGTACTGCTAAGGACTGCTAAAACCCCTAGATGCTTTTCGCACATACTACTGCCAAGATAAGTCTCCCCAACCTATTTCCTACCTAAATGCAGAACTTTACATTTATCTCCAACGAAATTCATTTTATTTGTTTTAGCCCAATTTTTCAGTCTGTCAGGATCATCCTTTATCCTGACTCTGTCTTCTACCGTATTTGCTACCCCTCCCAATTTAGTATCATCTGCAAATTTAATAAGCATTCCCTCTATCCCTTCATCCAGATCATTGATAAAGATGTTGAACAAAACAGGTCCCAGGACAGATCCTTGAGGCACTCCACTTGTCACTCCTCTCCAAGAAGATGAGGAACCATTCAAAAGCACTCTTTGGGTGCCATCTGTCAACCAGTTACAGATCCACCTAACAGTCATAGGATCCAAACCTAATTTTTCCAATTTGTGAACAATAATATTATGTGGGACCTTATCAAAAGCCTTACTGAAATCAAGATAAACTATGTCTACAGCATTCCCCTGATCCAGCAAGGCAGTAACTTTCTCAAAAAAAGAGATAAGGTTAGTCTGACATGTCTTGTTCTTGAGAAACTCATGACAGCTCTTAGTAATCACAGCCATTCTTTCCAAGGATATGTTCTTTCTGAGTAGCCATGCCTTAGAATAGGAGACTTGGAATCGAAGACTTCAGGTGTACCATCAGACGCTGATTCCATGACCCAATCCTGGTTTGGTTATCAGAGTTGTTCCTCAGATTCAAATGGCCCCTTCTCCTCCCCTCTCTTCCCCATTGTGTGCTCTAATTCCCTTTTTTGTTGACCCAAACCATCGTTTGCCATGGCCATGTCTGTATCTGGCAAATTAGGGTTACCACAGGCCATAGTCTACCGCCAAACCAGAAGTAGAAATCACACTTTGAAGTGGATTTCCACTTTTGGTTTCGGGGCAACCTGTGGTTTATGAAAAAAGGGTTTCGCCAGATTCGGATACGATTGCAAAGTCTGGTTTTTGCAAGCCGGAGAGGGAATCGGAGCATGTGAAGGGTGGAGCAAAGACCACGAGCCTGAGACGCAGCTCTCATTTGGCCGTTGCATCTCAACTGTCTCTCGTTTCGAGTTTTATTCTTCTAGCTCATGCAAAAACATTTTTTTTGCGCTATATATAAAACTTGGAACATAATAGAATGAAAGACATAAGCAGGGGCCAAGCCATGCCTTTATTGAATTTTATTGGAAGCCAGGGATTTCTGGGTTGCTTTCTTTGCTTTAGTGTAGGCGTGTGCGTGTGTACACAACTCACACAATGGGTTGACTTTGGGCACCATTCAAGCAGAGACCTCCTTTCCCCTGACACGAGTGCTCTGCCTGCAGAAGGTCTCTCCGGACTGACGCCTGCCAAGGCAGTTTGTTAATCAGGGGAACACTTTGGAATGCGCAGTTTGTTTGGTTTGGGTCTTTTAGATGTGGGGCAGGACCGGGCTGGGCTTTTTCCTGGCCTTTGGGATGTTGGAGAGCGTTAATGGTTGTCTGCTTTCTCTGCCCTCCTAATTGCTGTTTACCATTCTGCCTGGCTCACAGGTTAGTCATTTCGTGTTTGTGGCCCAGCCGAAAAGATTAAAGGCTCCAAAGGGGCCGGCTGCATAAAAGGCCTCCTTCTTCTTTGGGTTCATGCATCTTTTCCCCTCAACCAAAACGTTCAGTGAGAAGAGAACAATAGCTGGAGACACATTATTACTTTATTGCTACTACTTTATTTTATTACTTCATTTACACCCTCCTTTTCTCCCCAGCGGGTCCCCAAAGCTGCTTACCACGTTCTTCCTCCATTTTATCCTTATAGCGACAACTCTTGTGGAGTAAGTTTAGCATGTGTGACTGGCCCAAGGTCACTCGGAAAACTTCTGTGGCAGAGTGGAGATCCAAACCTGAGTCTTCCAGATCCTGGCCTGCCACCCTGACCACTGCACTCACACTGAAATGACACCCCACGTGTTAAGAACGAGTGGGGAACAACTGTGTTAGCTGTTATTCATCCCCATATCTCCATCCTTGCTCTTGGGCCTGTTAAAATGACTGGTTTTTTAACCTCATTAATAGGAGATGTGTTGGTTGCTAGGCATGAAAATAGATCTGAGGTGAGGATGGGAATGGGTTGCCAGATCTGATCGACAAGCCCGGGGGGGGGGACTTACCAGGATGCTTCAGGAGAAGGGTGGGCAGAAGCACGCCATGGCTAGGCATGTTGGTGACGTCGGGGTGACGCTCTGGTTTTGGGGTAAAACTCTATGGTTTGAAGCTAATTCTACCATAGAGTTTTGCCCAGAACCCAGAGTGCTGCCCCCCCGATGTCACCGATGTGCTTATTGCATTTCTGGGTGATGTAGGCCCTTTGCGTTTGGGGTAATAACTCTCCTGCCGGCCAGCTGGCCGGTGCCAGGGGGGAGTGCCAGAAACCAGGGGATAATAATAATAATAATAATAATACTTTCCATTTATTAATTGCTTTCCCCAATGGGCTCAAAGCGATGTACAATATAGACAAGGAACTAACAATGTTTGTAGGGGATAGGGAAGACAACATATATTCATTTTTAATTGCATGCGTCGTCACTGCCTGGTATAGACGTCTTCTGCCTTGGCTTCGTTGTTTTCCGCACGGCTGTGTGTTGGCCAGGCTTCAGGACCTGTATGTCAATCGCCACACTGTCACCGCCTGGCCGGAACATCCATTGCAGGGATTCTTTCGTAGCCGAGAAGCTATTTCGCCTTCCAAGCCTCGACCAGGACGTCCGACCATCAGCTAACACCCTCCCACAAGGGAGATTGGCGTGCCCACCCTCTCTAAGGAGTGGTTCCCATTTTATCTACTCGCCGAAGCTTTCGAATCGCTGGGTGGACGATGAGCTGGGGACAACAGGCTGGCTGCTCAGACCAGCGCGGGGCTTGAACTAACACAGTTCAGATGTTAAGACAGTAGGATATACCCATTGTGCCAGCGCTCCCCTTGGCACCGGGGGGGACGGGACCTGACAACCCTAAATGGGTTGGAAATTAGAGTACTAGTTGCTGTCGTCACAGGGGTGCTAAGGCTATCTTAATGTCAGGGAAAATATTTCTTTAAATTTTTTTTAATTAAAGTATGAATAGTCCCTTCCCACCTGACCAAAAGCCTCTAACGGAATTTACACCCAAGTGGAATGTTTGCTACTTTTCCCTCTCACTCCACTTTTAGATGGTGGGGTTTTGTGGACTGATTCCACATGGGTTGGTTTTGCCGTGTAGTCCCACTTTGCCCGAGTTCGAATTGCTGTAGTCAGTCTATGGGCACGTTCAGACGGGCCATTTGAGCCGGTATAC